CCCCCCCCCCCCCCCCCCCCCCCCCCCCCCCCCCCCCCCTCACCTTGCTCCTGCCTGAGTCTCTCTCTCTCTGCGTAGCCGACGGCGGCCATGTTTAGCCGGCTGAGCCACCTAACAGACGGATCACAAACCTCCCGTTAGCACCCGGAACAAACGGCCAAAAACAGCCTCATATACCAACACACACCCAGTAAGAGAGAGGAGCCAAATCCCATTTTTTGGCCCTTTCTTAAAAGATCAGAATCATAATAAGTATCAGAAATACTTTAACTCATTGGCTGCCAAAGACGTCTATAGACGTCTTTTATGTTTTTCAACGAGAGTGGCTGGGGGACGATCTGCTAAAGCTTGTCCGTAAATATCAGGCTTCTAGACAGAGTATGTAGTAACAAATTGACCCTCTAGGGGGCAGTGCCACTTTTGATGGGAGATGAGCATAGACTGTAGGCAAATAAGAAAAAGCTAACGGTTCTATGAGAGAACATGTCGCCGGTGAGACGCAAGTCGAGGAAGAACGGAATAAGGTAGAAACAAACATTTTTTTCCTGAGGAAAGAAGAGAGTCTACTCTTTCTTTTTGTGTATTCGGTGTTTACATAGTCATAGCACAAACTACTCTGTGGCTCTTGAAAAATCAGTCAAAATGCTCAAAAAACTCTGGCAGTCAATGAAATAATAATTATTTAATAATATCATACAATATATGATCATATCATCATATCATTTCTGATAAGAAAGGGTCTTTTTGTTTTCTGTGTTGTCCCCACCAAACAGCCCCTCCGCCCCCCTGCACAGGCTGTTTCCAGGCTGTTTCCAGGCTGTTTCCAGGCTGTTTCCATGCTATTTCCAGGCTGTTTCCATGCTATTTCCAGGCTGTTTTCAGGCTGTTTCCAGGCTGTTTCCAGGCTGTTACCTGTTCATGTCGTCCACTCCATCGGCAGCAAAGTAGAAACTCTTGACCTTCGGGTGGCACGCTTTGAAAGCACTGGAGAGACAGAGGGAGTTATTTTCATCATCCAATATTCATCCACCAGTTCCCCCATCATCAGCATCCATCCATCCCATAATCCATCCATCCATCAATATATCCATTAATCCATCCATCCATCCATCCATCCATCCATCCATCCATCCATCCATCAATACAAACATATATTCATTAATCCATCCATATATTCATTAATCCATCCATCCATCCATCCATCAATAAATTCATTAATTCATCCATCCATCCATCCATTAATCCATCCATCCATCCATCCATCCATCCATCCATCGATCAATATATTTATTAATCCATCAATCCATCCATCCATCCATCCATCCATCCATCCATCCATCCATCCATCCATCAATATATTAATTAATCCATATATAAATTAATCCATCCATCCCTTTTCTTCAGGAACTCACTACTTCTTTCTGCATTCGCTGGCCCGGTCGATCTTGAACTCGGGAAGGCTGACGAAGCCCTCAGCCTTCTCATCCTGGACAGGAAGAGGTAAAAACGTTAATCTGAAATGAGGATTTATCACATAAAAATGCCTTTTGAAGTCTCATCATGACAATAATTGGCCTGATTGATGATCTTCGAGCCACATTTTCTATGTTCTGGGTTAAAAAACATCACTAAGAAATATTAGTCCCATAAAAGTGGGACTAATATTTGTGATTTATGTTTATTTTCTAAAAGAAGAATGAAAGCTGTTAGGGAAATCAATATATGTGTAATCACTTCTTTAATTTATCTCTGGTAACTTTCCACAAGTGTATATTTTATTCTTTTTCTTTCTCATGGGACTCCTCTTCTTCCTCCTTCTAGGTCTCAGAGAGGGTCTCCTTATACTTTATCTCTGAATGTTTTGTCTGGAGGATTGTTTAACCCTTTAAAGCCTGATCCAAGAATAAAACAAATCAGAAACTTACTTTTTTTTTTTTTTAAGTCTATATTTGGCCTTTTAACAAAATATGTAAAAAGAAAAAAAACAAAAATAAATTTTTAATATTAATAATTTATTACTATGGGATAAGTCAAGATGATTTTTTGTGTAGTCTTCTGCCCCCTGTTATCAGGTGTGTCTGATTGTGTACAATAGTTTCTGCCTGTTAAAAGGAAGTTTTTCCTTGCCTGTGTCGCCTAGTGCTTGCTCATGGTGGGAATATTTGGGTTTCTGTAATTAACTTCAGAGTAGGGTCTGACCTGCTCTGTTTGGAAAGCGCTGTGAAACAACTGTTGTTGTGATGTGGCGCTATATAAATAAAATTGAATTTAATTGAATTGAATAGGATTTTGAGCAAAGTTTTTACCATTAAATTATGCAAAAGGAGTCAGACGCAAAACATTTCAGAAACCGTATGTATCAAATATCATACATTTGGCATTATAGGGTTAAAATAAAATTTCCACAACAAAGTGCCGCCACGAGTGACTGTTTCCTGGTAAAAAAAACTCTGATATTTCCCACATTTCAAACCCCAGACAGAGCCCAGAGTCCCCTTTTGGAGTGAGTCCTGGGGGGTTACCTCCTCGTTGATGTACCAGTACAGGCAGTTGTCCTTCAGCACGAACCAGTACTTCTTCCATTTCTGGGAGAAGTAACCCTTGGCGTCCCGTTTCCTCCAGAGCCAGCCCTCGCAGTCTCCCCGGCCCAGAGCCTTACAGGAGACCCGCCGGCGGCTCAGGGAGGTCAGGGCCCGTCCTGGATCCACAGGGTTAGGGTTAGGGTTTGTGTTAGGGTTAGGGTTAGGGACTCCCTCTTAAAGGTTTAGCCTGGATGAAAGTGGTTGAGTGTCTGGCAAATGTTTAAGGACAAACAGCCTTTTCTGTCTGGCTTAAAATGGCTGTAACATTTTTAACTGCACGCTCACTATTAAAGATTATCTATTAAAGATAATCTTCATCCTCCAAATACAATGATGGATGGATGGATGGATGGATGGATGATGTTTGGTTGGATGGATTAATTGATTTATGGATGGATGGATGGATGGATGGATGGTTGAATGGATGGATGGATGGATGGATGGATGGATGGATGGATAGATGGATGGATGGATGGATGATGTTTGGTTGGATGGATTAATTGATTTATGGATGGATGGATGGATGGATGGTTGAATGGATGGATGGATGGATGGATGGATAGATGGATGGATGGGTGGATGGATGGATGGATGGATGGATGGATGGATGGATGGATGGATGGGTGGATGGATGGATGGATGGATGGGTGGATGGATGGATGGATGGATGGGTGGATGGATGGATGGATGGATGGATGGATGGATGGATGGATGGATGGATGGATGGATGGATGGATGGATTTCAAATTCTAACAGCATCCCAGCCTTCTACTTTGATATTATTATCTTCAAGAAAGTCACAAAATAATTGCCAAAATCCTCCAAAACTGGTTTAATTTTCTCTCCAAACCAAAATAAAAGCACATTCCTAATCCAGGCTGATTAATCATTTATGGACCCGAGAAAAAAGGGCCGATTCATTTCCTGGAGAAGCCCAAAACTGCTCTTGTAAACACATTATTCACATCGTTCAGAGCAGAAAACGGAGGCTTTTTTTTGGCCGACACATCACGTCGTGTTTCAGATGATGGCCGCCGGGAGCCGTGGCAACGCCAGCAAATCACTACTGTCACATCCATCCCCGAACTTCGGAGGGATTGATGTTAACAAAGCAAAGCCGTCTCGGAGTCGTGCAGATGGAGCCGCAGATGGCAAAACAAGTGCAAATCCTCTCCAAAAAAACATCCACTCCGACGTGTTTTGCTCTTGTTTATGTCGCGGAAATGAACAGGGCCGAGAAAAGGTTTGATGGAAAGGAATAAACGGGCAGAAAAACAGAGGAGGGACCTCGTTTATCCGGGGATGATGGAGGAAAATACATAAGTTCTCATCAAATCTGTGAAAAACCAGCCCCCTCTAAGCAAATCTGGGGCTGTTTCTTATTCAAAATGCAACTTTCCTCCATCTATTCTGGATCAGGAGCTTTTTTTTTACCCACATGTCAAGCTTTTAAATGAGCCCCTAATAACGCACACGCACCGGAAATAGGTTTCTAACCGGACTCGTTTTACAAATCAAAGCAAGTCCTGAGACTTTTGGCCTAAAAGGCCCAATTTAAAGCTCAGAAAAAGCTCAATATTTCTAGATTTACAGACAAAAAGTGAGTCTGGTGGAAACAACACTGAGTTACATTTGAATTACAAAGAAACTAGATGCTCTGAAATTGAAAAATTAAAAAAAAAAGCAACTCCTGACACTTTTGGCCTAAACGGCCCAATTTAAAGCTCGGAAAAAGATAATTTTCTCTAGATTTACAGACAAAAAGTGAGTCTGTTGGAAACCAGGCTGAGTTTGGCTAAATTACATTTGAATTACAAAGAAACTAGATGCTATGAATAAAACAACAAATAACAAGCAACACCTGACACTTTTGGCCTAAACGGCCCAATTTAAAGCTCAGAAAAAGCTAATTTTCTCTAGATTTACAGACAAAAAGTGAGTCTGGTGGAAACTACTCTGAGTTAGATGCTCTAAAATAAAATAAAAATAAAAAAACAAGCAACTCCTGAGACTTTTGGCCTAAACGGCCCAATTTAAAGCTCAGAAAAAGGTTTTGCTTTACTTCCTTTTAAAGGGGAGTTTTTCCCTCCCACAGTCACCTCGTGCATGCTCAGAACCAGGACTGGATCCAGGACAAAGATCAGAACAGCTTCTCTAACTGGCTCTGGATGACTAGTACACTTTTGGACTTTATCTGGTTAATTTGAAGATGAGTTCCTTGTTTTTAAGCCTGTTGAAGGGGCCTCTCTGTGAACCACCTTTACGGCTTTCCAAAACACATTTTTACTCCCAGGCCTTCAACTTCGACCTGGTTTTTCTTTTTTATGGTACTCCTTTATTATGATTAGATCTGGTCTCTATTGCCACCTTCCACTCCTTTGCTCTTTTTAAAGATCTTTCCACACAAAGTCGTCATAACAACAGGAGGAGGAATGTTTTTCGCTGATGGAAACTGCAGTTGAGGTGGGTTTTTCTCTCTGACCGTGAGTGGAGAGGACTGGTAACAGCCCAGATGGAGCCCGACACCCACCTCCTAGCGAGCTCTTACTCACGACGGCAAGTGCTCACAACCTTTTTGGGAGGAAGATTAACTCATTGGCTGCCAAAGACGTCTATAGACGTCTTATATGTTTTTCAACGCGAGTGGCTTGGGGGACGATCGGCTAAAGTTTTTCCGTAAATATCGGCTTCCAGACAGAGTATGTAGTAACAAATTGACCCTCTAGGGGGCAGTGCCACTTTTGATGGGAGGTGAGCATAGACTGTAGGCAAATAAGAAAAAGGTAACGGTTCACTATGAGAGAACATGTCGCCGGTGAGACGCACGTCGAGGAAGAACGGAATAAGGTGGAAACACATTTTTTTCCCTGATGATAGTAG